CCCCCCCTTCCCTTCCTATCTCCTATCACCTCTAACAAAGACCAAGGTACGTCCCCAAACCACGCCCCGGCGTCTTCCGCATCACCAAAACAAACCACAACATCCTCCAAGGCGTCTCCAAGCCCAACGAACGCCTCAGCGCAAAAGACCACGACCAAGTCACCAACTGGATCCTCGAAAACGCAAAACGCTACTGGCTCTCCCGCGAAGGACCCCTGCAACCACCCTCCGAAGGAGGCGCCCATATCATCATCGTCGACGATCCGCAAATGGCACCGTTGATCCCGATCGCCAAGCAAATGGCTCCTGATCGACCAGTTATTTTCCGCAGCCATATTCATATTCGCAGTGACTTGATTGCGATGCCAGGCTCGCCGCAGGCGGAGGTTTGGGAGAAACTTTTGGAGAGTATCAAACTCGCGGATATATTCATCAGTCATCCTGTTAGTTCGTTTGTGCCGAGGAATATCCCTAAGAAGATGGTTGGGTATATGCCTGCTTCGACGGATTGGTATGCCCCTTTCCACAGATATATCAATTGAAATTCAACGCTGAGAATTTACAGGCTCGACGGCCTAAACAAAGACATGCGCGACTGGGACGCCGCCTTCTACGGCCGCGCCTTCAACTCCTGGTGTCGCAACTCCGGCATGCCCATTATTGACCACCCAGATGGTATCCCTCCCCCCGCCCCCTCCATATAAAGTCTATGCTAACGACGACAGACAAATACATAGTCCAAATCGCCCGCTTCGACCCCAGCAAGGGCATCCTCGACGTAATAGAATCCTACAAGAAATTCCACGACCACCTCACAAAAACACACCCCCAAACACCACCCCCGAAACTCCTCGTCGCAGGACACGGCTCCATCGATGACCCGGACGGTTCGCTTATCTACGACCAGGTCGTCAGTCATATCGAAGAGGATATCCCGCATCTAAGGGATCAGATTTGCGTTATGAGACTACGCCCAAGCGACCAGGTTCTCAACGCTCTGTTATCAAAGTCGAAGATCGTACTGCAATTGAGTAGACGGGAAGGCTTCGAGATAAAAGTCTCGGAAGCAGCCCACAAAGGCAAACCCGTCATCGTGACCCGCGCAGGCGGGCTCCCCCTCCAAGTGAAAAACAACGAAAGCGGCTTCCTCGTCGACGTCGGCGATACAGACGCCGTTGCACAACGGCTCTACGAACTCTGGACAGATGAGGAGTTGTATAAGCGGATGAGCGAGTATGCCATTGCGCATGTGTCAGATGAGGTGAGTACGGTGGGGAATGCGGTGAGTTGGTTGTATTTGGCGTGTGAACTGTCGAAGGGGGGTAGGGTTGAGCCGAATGGGGCGTGGATTAATGATTTGGCGAGGAGGGAGGCTGGGCAGGAGTATGAGGTGGGTGAGTCGAGGCTGTTGAGGGCTGTGGAGGTTGAGAAGATGGGTTAGCTTTCTTTTATTGTGTGTTCAGGTGCTACGTGTACATTGCTTTGTATATGTGGGCAATTTCATTTTGTACATGGTAATGACTAAGAATAAAACATAGCAAAAATACAGAAAGTCATCACTGCATAACAAGCGTCACGTCAAGGTTTCCATACGCCTAGTACCGCGGCGGGGCGGGCGGTTGTCCATACGGTCCTTGAGGATAACCAGGGGGGCCCGAAGGAGGTCGTCCATATCCACCGTACGGCGACGGAGCGTATCCACCTTGGGGGGGGCCAGAGCTCGGGGGGTATGGCGCTTGGCCGTAAGGACTGGGGCTAGGGCCACCCGGAGCTGCGCCGTACGGACTGGGGCTAGGAGCACCGTATGGGTTTTGAGGATAGCCGGGGCCGGGGCCAGCTGGCGAGGGACTGTAGTATCCGGGGGTACCGTAGCTAGGTCCCTGGCTGTAGCCGCCGTATGGACCGGGAGGAGGGCCACCGGGGCCAGCACCAGGAGGTCCAGGGGGTCGAGCTCCAAGAGGAGGGCCGGAAGGAGGACCAGACATGGGAGGAGGACCACCAGGGCCAGGGCGACCAGAAGCCTTTTCGTCTTTGGCGTCGTATGACGAGTCAATGGCACCGAGCATCAACTTGGCGCACTGCACGTAGTTAGCATGACGTCATTATAAAGAGGATGGCGACAACATACCCAGAGCTCTCGCGTGAGGAACACCGGAGGGTTGGCGCGCGACATTTCATCCTGCTCAACCTCAAAGTCTGTGACAGTTAGCTTTGTATCTAGAAAAAGGAAGGTCGGAGCGTACTGGAAGTGCAATCGATGAGGTTTCCAATGCTAGGATCTTCATCAAGAGCTGACAAAAAGTCACGAGCTCTAGTATCATTTCCAACCTGAGTGAACTGGAAAGAAACAGCACCGCGACCGTAGCGCGTACGCGAAACCTCCTCAACCGCATAACGGATGCTGTTCGCTACACTGTCGTGTGGTTCGCCAGCAGGCTGACCATCGGTGATAGTAATGACGAGCACTGGTTTGTCTAGACGGCCGGCGCGTGCGGGACCAATAACCATGGGTTCGAGAACCTTGTTCCGCAGGCTGGATCCCAAGGGAGTCAAACCTTGGAAACGGACGCGCGAGGTGAGCATGGTAACATCGTCTGCGTTGCGGATACCATCGCCAGCTTCCATGTTGTTCATGAAGCGCACGGAGATGCCATCCTGGTCGAAGGTGGAGGCAGCCGTGGCGACGATGCTGATGATCTGCTTGAGTTGTTCCTTGCGCACACCCTTCTCTTCGAACTCGATGGAGCCACTGTCATCAACGTAGAGGATCACGTCGAACAATGACAGCTTCATGACATCCGTCACAACCTCCATGGGAACAGCCCACTCATGAACCAAGCTATTGAGTTTGATGGGCGCTTCAATGGCGAGGCGTTGCACGAGCTGGTCCAGTCGTTCGGGAGGATAGAAACTCTGCAGATTCTTCTCTTGGATGGTATCGATCAAAAGCCGACGGTAAGCAGCGACCTGCTGGGGAGTAGCCGGCGCGGGCGGGCCTCCAGGTGCGGGAACACCATATCCACCAGGACCGGGCGGCGCACCACCAGACGGACCAGGAGGACCACCGGGGTAGGGAGGACCGGTAGGACCGGGAGGATACTGTCCCTAAAAAACCCGTCAGCATATCTTCGATTGATAATCACACAACGCGCATACATAAAACGGCTGCTGGGGATACGGGCCAGGTGGGGCGCCGTAAGGCTGAGGAGGCCTTCCAAAGCCCTGCGGCGGCAGCTGGCCGTAAGGAGATTGGGGGTGAGGGCTGTAAGGAGGCTGCTGGGGAGATTGGGGGTGAGGGCTGTAAGGAGGTTGCGGATAGCCTTGAGGGGCAGGCGAAGATGACGCAGGTTTATTCGGGGGAACAGCGGGAGAAGAAGAAGAACCAGAACGAAGCTGGGGAGGGAAACCGCGGTAAGTCGGTTGTTGATAATAAGGATAGGACATGGTGCGATTTCGCAAAGATAATTGTAAAGGGGATAGTGGATATGATAGTTGTAGTAGGTGTGGTTTGTTTTCTTTTGTGGCTGGTTGGCGGCGATGACGAAGATGGGCAGAATACAAGAAAAAAAAAAAACCACGTGGGGAAGAGGGTTTGTCATTCGATGGAGAAATCAACCGATAAAAACAAGACTCACAGAAGGAGCAGCTGAGGAACCTGGGTATGGCTGATAGGGAGAAGGATTCTAGAAAAAAATCAAGCAATCAGTAAAGGTGTTCGAGGCAGGATTTCATGTATATGCAGGTGAAGATGTGGTGCTTGTATGTACCATCGGAGGGGCTCCAGCGCCGGATTGTGCCTGGCTAGCTGCGATTTTCGAGGCGAACTGGGTCAGTGAGCATTGGATTGGGCTGAACGATAAGGGGGAGCAGTACTTACGCCCATTACGGATTGATAGAAAGTGAAAGAGAGAGAGAGAGAGAGAGAGTAAAATGGAAGAAAAAGAGGGGAAGAGAGAAGATGTACTCCGGAATAGCTGAAATGACGCTGTGAGGCTATTTCCCGATCCGGACTAGCGTGCGATCAGATGACTTGTTTATAATTCTGAAATACAGTCGAGTCTCCCTAATACAATGTAATATATCCAAGCGCTTTTCATCGTTATAAACACATATCGCCATACCCATATAATTCTTGGCAAATCTAATGATGCCTAAGCCACGAGTCTAGTGTCTTTTGAGGCCGTGAATTAACCTCCTCGCATACTAGCTGGTGCTGAAGCTGCTCTAATAATCGTATATCCTCCATCTTAGTATCCTGGCGGTATTCTTTAAATCTCAAGAGAACATGAAGACAATTCAGAGCTTGCTGTATGCTTGGTGGTGGCAATGGTTCTTCTTCATCTGATTGTTCTGCAGTCTCAATAGTCTCTCCCTGCTCAAGATGGTCTGCAATAATAGTATTGAGCTCAGTACTATCACCAGAATTGACCACATTCTCATCATTTGGATTAAGGAAATTTTCAAGTGCCATCATATCTCTTATCTGACCGGCATGCTGAGTTTGTTGGTATAAGACTGACAGATCAGGAGCAGGCTCAGTAGGTAAATTTTGGATTTGTGGCTGTATCACCCCACTCTTGCGAAAGCAGTTATAGATGGTGGTATTTGATACCTCATGAATCCGTATCCATATGATCCAATGGACTGTATCATAAAGCATGATCTTGTCAAGTGGATTAAGATTGACTTCATAATGATCAATCATAAACCGAAGCCAGCGTTTGCGATAATGAGTCTTGAGATTATTGATAATCCCTTGATCAAGTGGTTGATAAAGACTGGTTGAATTTGCAGGAAGCCATTGAATCTGAATGTTAGATGGAGGAGGAGCTAATCCAGCTCCTTGTATATTGTCACAGGCTGCGCCTGTCGCATAAGCGATATGTCTAGTCAGGCGGAGAGGCTATCGGACGGAGAGGTTATCGGAGGAACTGTTTACCCGCACTGCGCACATGTATTTAGAGCCGCTCGATCGGGCATCCGTCCGACATTTCTTCAACGAAATCTTTTGTGCCAAACTAGTCATTAGTGTCTCCGGGCCTGGCCCCTAACATATATGAGGCAAGAAGTTATCCATCAAGAGCAAAACTGATCTACTCCCAATATGAGAGTAGAAAGATAAAAGCCACTCTTATAATAACTGTTGTCATCCAGGCCTTCTTATTTGCTTGCCAAACACCACCAAGAGCTTTGATATTCAATCCACGAAGAGACCGTGGTGTTTTAGCATTACCAATGAACCATATTGGCAGGCGATCTGAACCTGTAGAATTGACACAGGCTACTAGAGTAATCCAGCTCTTATCTTTCTTGATTCCAGGGTGATTTCGTGTTGACAAGCCTGAGGAAGGAGCTTGTCGCCAGAACAGGCCAGTCTCATCCATATTGTAGATATTATCCTCCTCATATTCTCCAGCCAGTGTTTGTACAGCCTTCATTTCTTCAGCTGCTGTACTTGGTACAGACTACAGAGGATGCCTCGCTGTGTTGAGTGTTCTTGTAGAGATTATAGCGCTTTTTAAAGCCAGCAAGCCAGCCAGTACTGAACTCTGGAGAAGGAATATTTTTGTACTGAGGAATTTGACACCAGATTTCTCTTGCCTTCTCATAGAGAATTTCCCCAGTTAGAAGTCCTCCTTGCCTCTCAATATTTTGTTGCCAGTTGAAAAGAATCTCTTCAAGAATAGGCCAGTTTGCAGTTCGTTGTCAGAAGGTTGATTTTGAGGGTTCTATCCCTTGATCAAGATAGAGATATCGGTCAGAAAGAATTTCAGAAACAGTAGATTGAGTTATTTGATGATTAAATTTCTCTTTAAACCAGAACATGCAATCTCGCTGGCGTGGCTGAGGATATTGATGTTGAAACCACTGCCGAAGAGCTCTCCGCTGGATATCTGAAATTGGTTGACGAGGCATTTTGATTGTTGGTTGATTGGCTGGATTCTACAGCTATAGCGATATTGGGGAAGGAGATAGACGATATTTCAAGTATCGAAATATCGAGATTTTTGTGTGTTGATAATTTGGCCAGAAAATTTTAATCGCTAAATCCACTATCGGTGATTATCCACTACCGCTATAGGAAGACTCCACTGTATACACGAATAAGTCTAGGTGGATCTAGATCTCATTCCAAGCCTCGACCGGAACACCCGATGTGTTATCTAGTGTCAATAGTTTCATGTGGCTGAAAAACTATGGGCTGAACTCGACCAGATCCATTTATCCGTACGCACAGAGTAGACAGCATATATATCTACCAGCATTATGCCACTTTTTCTAAAAAGCCATAGCAAAAATGGCAACATCCAAAATGCCAGAACAAGGCTCCTACCTCCCCGTCCCCGGCGCAACCCTCTACTACAACCTCATCGGCACATCCGGTCCACTCCTCGTCCTGATTCCAGTCAGCAACGGCACAACCCTATTCTACGAATCCCTCGCCTCACATGCAGCATCGCACTTCCGTGTCCTCCTCTACGACCGTCGGGGTTACCATCGCAGCCGCGCAGATAACCGTCCAAACAAAGACGAACTGTACACAACACATGCTAGCGACGTCGCTGCTCTGATACAGCATGTCTCGTCGTCGCCGGCGGGATGCGACACTGAACCTGCGTTCGTGTTTACTTCCTCTGCGAGTTCGGGCATTGCGACGGAACTTCTTTTGAATCATCCGCATCTCGCCCACTCCATCATCCTCCACGAACCAGCCTTCACGCCTATAATCCCAGAACCCCTGGGATCGATAATCACACAAACCGGCACCGCCATAGCCTCAAAAGGAAGCAAAAAGGACCTCCGCGGCGCAAACGCCTTAATAAACACCCTCCTCTACAGAAACACCGAACTACAATCCTTCAAAGCATGTCCCGTCTTCGCGCAGATTCTCTCCGTCTTCAAACCCGCTGATATGATCTACTACCTCACAAATGAGATCACCGCGGCGAGGGACTATCTTCCGGATCTGGAGAGATTGAAGGAACAGGCTGTGAAGGGGAAGGTGAGGCTGGTGTTGGGGAGGGAGGAGACGGGGCCGTTGGCGAAGACACCTGCGGAAGTTCTGTCGGGGGTTTTGGGGGTGGAGGTTGGGTTGGCGCCAGGGGGGCATGTTGGGTATGTGACGCATGCGAGGGAGTTTGCGGAGTATTTGCGGAAGCAGTTGGTGGGTGAAGCGAAGTTGTGATTGCTTTTGTATGGTTGGAGGACGTACCCGGATAGAGCGTATAAGATGTGACATGACTCAGTTAATAGGGCTGGACGAGCCTTACACGACTCAGCTAATTGTCATACCTGACTCTATATGTACATTACATAGTTATACCGCTGCATGCCTGTAAAATGGTTCACTTCTTCCCCTTCTTCTTCTTCTTCGAGCTAGCACCCCCACCACCAGTCTGTACCTTGGGTTGCCCAGCCGGCGACTCCTCAGCCCTCTCACTAACAACACCGCCCTGCATCCTATCCGCTACCCGCTGCTTATTCTTCCGTCCCTTAGGCCTATAGCTAGATCGATCCTTCAGCGGGAGCCACCGCTCCGGATCAGCAGCTTTGTTGGCATCATACTCCTTGGGCAGACGGGACTGGCGCACGCGCTTCTTGGTTGCTTTCTCTGTCTTGCCGTCGGAGGGACGCTTCCTGGCGCCTGCCATGGCGATGGCTGCGGCGGTGGAGGATGAGGATGGGGTGATGCCGGATTGCTCGAGGGCGGCGGTGTCGATGTCGGAGATAAGGTCGTCGACAGAGGGGAGGGTGTCAACTTGGGATTCGATCTTGGTGTAGTCGAGGGGTGCTTGGGATGCCACGTAGCCTGCAACGGCGAATCGGTCGGTGCTGTCATTCTGGTAAAGGTTCTTGAACAGATCTCCGGCCGTCTTGAGATCGGAGGGGTCGGATGAGTGGAGGAGGGATGTGCCTGCGGCGCGGAGCAGAGTGGTAGGACGCTCTTCTGTGGCGCGGGCCTGCCAGTGAGCTGCAGCCTTGGCCAATTCTGTCCGGATCGGGATCCTGCGGCCTTCACGGCGGTACAACGAGATCAGAACTCCAAGAAGGCCTGGGGCGTACCGCACGTCCTGGTCTTGCTCCGAGATAGACTCCTCAAGAAGCCGCAGGGACTTCTCCAGTGTAGTAATGGCGGAAGTGGTGTTGCCTGCGTTCACGTAATGCTGCACAGCGGTAAGAACCAAGCCGACGTCCTTAGGGCGGCGCTCCAGCAAGGGAATGATTTGCTTCAAAGCCTTGGGATCTGTTTGGCCGCGTGCGTGGGCTGCTGCGCTGTAGACCGACAAGAGATTGGTGCGAGACTCGATCGAAGGGTAAGAGCTATGGGAAAGCGTCTTCGATGCGGATCGAATGATACCGTCGTACTTCTGAGCCAACAGATCTACCGAGTGGGAATTGTTCATCAAGATGTTGTTCTGGTAATCAAAGAGCTTGTCCGCATCGGTGGTATCGGGGGTCTGATGGAGGGCTTTGTGGAGCAGAAAAGGGTTCTCGGGCGTCCCACGAGCGACGGTGATGTTGTTCTGGGCAATGTTCTTCGTGGACCGCTCAGCGATGCTACCAGGGTCAGATAAGCAATCCAGTATTGAATGAACCATAACATACCCGTCGACGGAAATCTCCTCCATCACCGACTCCGCCTCTGCAGACTTTCCTTGTCTGATCAGAACATACAGCTGCTGCACGGAAATGGGCAGCAGTTCCTCCGCCTTGTCCTCGGGGGTGAGATCTTCGGACGTGCGACATAACTCTGCGATACCGGTCAATCAAAGTCCAGGTAGGAAGCTCAAGTAAGTGACCAACCTTTGGCGCGCTTCAACAGCATCTCACTCTGATCAAACTCTCCCTTGGCGATACTCAAACAGGCGGCGTTGTAGACAGTTTCGAAGGCCTCGAGGTCATCTCTCGATGGTCTACCGTGGCGGACCGAATCTGGGTATCCCTTCCACTGCAATTGAGCATCCACAGCCCACGAATTAATCCGCAAGTCGTTCTCTTCGTTGGCGAGAGCTTCTTTATCCTGAAGGAGATCTTGGTAGAGGTCGGCCGCTCGACGGAACTTCTCTGCACGGTAGCTCTGCTTCAATCAGCTCCTATCCTTCAGTCCACCTTTCTTCCGGAAAACGCACCGCCTGAGCCTCCAGATGATTAGCACCTCGCCCCCCGCCTAGTCGTGTAATGACATCGATAGCCTCCTCCACTTTCCCACCCTTATATAACGCATAAGCGTATTCCAACGGCGCACGCTTCTTCAACCCATCCCCAGCTCCATCAAAAACTCGCAGGGAATCTTCGTACCGGTCGAGCTTCGATAGCGCAACGACCTTGACATGTTGGGCGTGGAGATCGGACTTGGATTTGGCAAGCACGTCGTTCGCAGAAGTAAGAACCTCGTCGTGATCGTCGATAGAGGCGCGCTGAAGCAGCGAGCTCAAGGCTTGCGCGACCATTTTGTGTTGAGTGCGACGATTGTTGTTGTTGAGCGGAGCTGTCCGGGGAAATCGAATGCCAGCGTGTGCGGAACGGATTTTCCTGATTGGGAATTGCGCAAGTGGGCGGAGGGGTTGCCGTAGCATGTTTTGGCCAAAAGTATTCGGACATTTTCTTACAACCATGAATCAATGACTTTGAATTGAAAAATCGTTCGTCTAAATCTTTCTAGGCACAGCAAATATAATTGTCACTACTAAACCTCTAATCATACGGATTATTTCCTTTACCATTGCCAACTGTGTTCCAGAGTCATGTCAACTCATCCGGAGAAAGATCAAGAACTGGGGCTGGGGCTTTCCTGACTATCGTAGGATCGGGGTCCCAGCCATAAAGATGCGTTGCCAGTTCAAACTTCATCCTAGCCCCAGGCTGCGGGCCGCGCATTATCTCACCAATCTGGACCATACCAGGGGGGAAGTGATGTTCAAAAAATGGCTCCCCCGCCCCTCTCATGTTTGCGAGCACTGCTTGTCGGAAATGCTAGTATAGCAACATATCCGCGACACGATTTGTATCATTGGGCTGTCGACATGCTCCGTCTAAGATCCTTCCGTCGTACCTACTACGAGTCTTCGTGAAACTCTGGACCTTGTAACCGTTCTTCAATGGTCAGTGTATGTGACGGGAATGGTATGGTAAACTCATAAAAGGATCACTGAGAAAGGGTATTGCTCAAAAAGCTGGTGGATGTCAGTCCTCAGAGGCAGATCATTTTGGGGTGAGTTGGTTCCTGATTGATTCTGCTACGAGTTCACATAGGTGTCAAAGTGCTGGGAAAGAAACATGTCTTCATGAGCCAGAGGGACTATGTGGGCTGCCTCCAGGTCACACCAGTCGTTATCCTCCACTTTCTGGTCATCTGAAACGAGACAACCTCGATCGCGATGTCTCACCAAGCTATGGAGATTGAGTTCGGATTACCATACCTAAGAGTGTAAAGAGCGTAAATTACTTACTTGGTGAACTCCAGCTCGCAACGAGGATCCGCAAATATAAAGGCTCGAGTGAAGTACTTTTCATCTGATTCCAGTATCGTAAACAGATGAGTGTGTCCGAGTTGGTTCTTCACAACATAGGCAGGAAGTGATGTGCAGATGACTCAGCACCTTAATTCTACCACTAGTTATCTAAACTAGAAAAGGCAATAACTCATGTTAGTACCCACCGGGTCACGTGCTTGACCGCCCTCGCTTTCTGCCCAGTAGACATAGCTAGCCTGAGCCGATAGGCACCCAATCAAACCAACTATCCACACACACCAAAAGGTTATGAGCCCTCTTGCTCGTTAGGAGCGAAAGGAAAACAATTATATATGTGTTATTGGTTCCTTTAGCGAGGGATTTCTTGTTAGGCTGATCAGATTACATTTTAGCCTGTGAGAATTCATTGCTATTGTACGCTCAATCATCCCTGAAAGTGCCGCCCCGATCGGTAAACTCAGAAGACCATGAAATCAAGATATTCCCCAGATAACTCAACATTATGCCCCCAAAGAAGATGCCCCCAGTTCTCCAAATGGCGACTCCAGGCACCAAACAACGCAGAGCCAGCGACCTCTTTGGTGATGCCGCTGAAAGCTCATCCATCATGGATATAGACAACCAACCAACCCCAACACCAATCAATCTGGACCCAAACTGGTATACACAACCACAGGAGACCCAATCTCCTAGCCAGACTATTCAACTGCTTCCCAAAACGCCTCCTGCTCAAGGGGGGGGATGCGTTGAATCTGGGCACCCCAATGCCCAAGAACCTGCCCATCATCAAGCCAAAGAGCCAGATCAAACTGAGCTTTTGAAATCACTCATCAAACAGGTAGATGAGTACAGAACTGAGGTCTGAAACCTTAGTAAAGGCAAACAACCTGAGACCAATCTGGGAGGAGCAGATAATCAACTCATTGAGCAACTATCCAAACTGTTTGTGCAATCAGGTGGCCAATCAACAGTTGACAGAGAAGAAAAGAAACTCCATCAGCTTGCCAAAACCCATTGGTGAGATACCAAATGCCTCCATGGCTGAGAGAACTATTCTGAATGGAAGAAAGATCTCCTCATTGATGTGGATTATATTAATGCCTGTGATGTTTTGCTTCATCCAAAAGAAGTGCCTAAAGAAACTCCTTTGCAGTCAGCAGTGTACAACACATCTGTACAACTACTACATACCTGCATATTGGACTGCCTGATGTGTGATATTCTTCACCAAGTCCAAACAGACCATACCCAACACCCTTATGACATCCTATCCTGTTTGGACACTCTATATGGTGTCTCACCTGTGGAAGAACATTTACTCCTTGTAAAGATGCTCATGAATTTGAGACCCCAAGGCAATACTATCTCCATGATTCAACAGTGGCAGCGAGTAGCCACAGAGATAGAATGGAAGGGATATACTACCTCTGAGATATGCCATGACATTGGCATTGTCTTGTTGGGTGATTTTCAAAGGTCTTTCATCCGTACACAGTTGGATAGTCTCTTTGCAGTGTTGAAAAGAAGTGCCTATCATGAGCTGGATATGGATGAGGTGATTGATCAAATGGAAAGCCGTACTCCATCATCACCCAACACCTATCAACTGATTTCATACA